ATTTAAATCTAGCATTTACTAAAAATTAGCTAAATGTAAGAACTGTGAACTAAATAATTGAAACATGTTAGTGAAATGTTTTAACTTTATATTTTACATTTGGTGCCATATGCCATGGGCATGACTCCAGGTGGTGTGTCACTGCTAATTTACAAACATTCCCAGGTAAAATTAACTTGTTTCCTCTTTGAAGTTATTTTTTATTYTTAGAAACCAGGAGCTCGTTTCACAAAAGTCAGATTTATAAATTCAGGATATGAGCTGTAAGCTGAGCTTGAGCAAACCTTCGACTTGTCAACAGTTGTAATCTGTTGGTCTAATGTCAAGCCACGCTCAWTCAAGCAGCTGTAAATCGTTTAGGATTAATGCACAGTCATGGTTTGCTTACTTACGACGGCATATTAGGGCCYGGAGGAGCTAATCTCTGTGGAAAAAACTCAGAAATTCTGAGATTAATTTCAGAAATTTTCGAGAAAAAAAAAACAAGGAAATTCTCTTATGATGAAAAGTCGCAAATTTGTGAGAAAAAAACAGAAATTTCTGTAATTAAAGGCAGAAATTTGTGACATTTAAACTAAATATTTTCTGACATGGTAAAGTCAGAAATTTACAAGAAAAAAACCTGAAGTTTTCAGGAATGGCTGAAGGGCGATTCCATCTGTTTTCACTACCATCTTTCATTTGCTCCAGTTAAAAAACTCAAACACATGGAGACTTCAAACCTGGACTAAATTATTCTACACTGATTGTAGAATATTTAAAACCAAGTGTGGAATTTGTGAAACATATATTTGATATGTAAAGCTTTAGTATGTGCTGATTTCAGCAGTTTTTTGCATTTTATGAACAAACTGTACATGGCCAGATGGAGAGAATTATGCTGCGTTCACACTGAACGTGATTTGGGTGTCGAAAACACGACCAATTCGTCAAGTTGTGTGCTTGGGTGTCAGACACTGTGGAGAGCCTCCTCTGCAGTCTCTGTTTGATGGGAGATGAAACAAAGAAAGTTGCTTTGCTTTATTTACTGACAGCCGTGCATTAGGCTCCAGGTTGTCTAATTAAAATAGTTACCAATATAATTAATTTAAAGCAGAAAACCATGGGTCGGATTTATAAAACTGGCGTACGCACAAAACAAGCCCAGAAACTTGCGTACGCCATTTTTCACACCAAGGTTGTGATTTATAAAA